ATGAGGAAAGAGAAGAGCATTGATAGCAATCTTTTATCTCTAACTATTCTTCTGAGGCTCTCTCCTGTTTCCTCTACTGCCTTCAAGGTCTGTCATTTTGTAACCTGTAACCTGTAACCATCAATATTGATTTACAGGTGAGATGTTCAGTATTTGGCCCAGAGACAATGAATCCCTGGTGTTCAGCTGTTCCAGCCAGTGTCATGTTCCATATAAAGTGCCTCAGTTTTCACTGGGGTCATTGCTTATATTCAGCAAGTCCCTTTTTCCTTGGTTCACTCTGAAAAAGAAAAAAAAAACAACAAACACAAACAAAACAAAAAACCCTCAAACAAACAAACAAAAAACCAAAAATGAACAATAACTGCATAGATACCTCACTACTAATACCAGCACCTCAGAGGCTAATGCCGTCATCTCCTGTACTCTGCAGATGCCCTGAAGATGCACAGAGAAGACCAGAGGATCTTGCCTATCTGAGTGCAAGATGTTTGGTTTCACTTCACACCTCTGGCACTCTCACAGGGGATGATGTGTGGCCAGGCACTCTTTAGCAGTGGTGGTGGTATCTATGAGAGCATTAGGGATGCTCCCACATCAGACCAATTCTGTCTCAAGCACTTAATGCCATCCTGCAGCAAGCAGAGTGGGGAAGAGCCCCTCCACCACCTTGTCCCCCTGTGAGACACAGAGTGGGCTTGGTCCGCTGGGGCCCTGGGTCTGGGGAAGGCTGCCCGAGGGTGGAGGTGGCAGCATCTCCCCTGTGGAAGAGAAGCAGGAGTGTTTGGCCCTTCTGGTGTCCTCTCCCCTGCAAGTTCGTGCCAAAGGGAGCCCTGGGCTTCTCCCTCCTCCTGTGGGCTCGTGGAGCAGGGAGATCCCCGGGGCTCGCACCAGCATGCAGGGAGCACCAAGAGAGAAACAAGGAAACGAACAAAAAAATAACTTTATCACTCGAACCCTAATCTGTGATTGCACTGTTGCTCCAAACAATCATAAACGAGAGCCTGGGAGTCACGGGTGGCTCCCCCTCATGGTTTGTTTACAAAACAAGAGAGGAAGAGAAACCCAGAGCCAGGAGGCTGCCCTGCTGCTGCCACAGCTGACCTGCCCAGAGCTCCCTGAGCCCTGCCAGCCAGCTTTGAGCAGGAGAATGTGGAAGCCAAGAGCCCGCAGAGGAAGGAGGGGTGGGCTGCTCACCTGCAGGGGTTGGTGCTGCTCAGCAGCCGCACGCAGAGGGGACTCTTCGGTGCGATCCGCCGGCGGCTTCTGCTGCTCTGCAGCCCGTCCCCGCAGTGACACACCGGGCAAATACAGTTACTTATCAGTTCTCTGCAAGAAAATAATTTTACAGATTCCTCTGCTGACAAACAGACTGTCACTTCTAGCGCTTGCCAAGGGCCTGAGCTGGCCAGCTGCTTAACATCAGTGCGCTTTGTTCTTTCCAGCTTGTGATAAGCATCTGGGCAGGGGGGGTTAAGGGCAGCATCCCAGCTAGGCACGGTCCTGGGGAAGGTCTTGCATGCCCAAAAGCCTGGTTGTTTTATCCAATTATGTCAGCTGGGCTAATAAAAGTGATTACCTCTTTCTACCTACCCTGCCTCATTGATCCCACAGGCTGTTCTTCAAATGTCACCCAGCAAGGAGGGAGCACATATCTAATTATAAAAAGAGAAAAGATTAGTGTGGTGACAAAGCAGCAGGGTCAGTGGTGCAGATGTGCTGCATGAAGTAAATGAGATGTGCCAGGTTCTGTCACCATCCAGGGAGCCCAGAAAGAGGCATCTTGGTGTGCATAGAGCCCCGGAACTTTAGGCAGTGTAAACTTAACTGTCTTCCTAATCTTCCTCTGAGGACTGGTACTTTATTTGTTTAAAGAAGAAACCTTGAGCATGCTGAAAAACTAATAACTACTCAAAAGCACAAAGGCATGCAAGCTGCAAAAGAAACTAAAATTGTTGGTGGTTTTTGTTTGTTTGTTTGTTTTGGGTTTTGTTTTTGTTTTTTTTTTCTTTTGGTGGGGCAAATTCCCCACCTATGTTCACTTGTCCCACTTTCGATGGGTCTCAGCTGTGTAGCCAAGGACAGAACTTGGCTCAAGCCCACCAGGATACACCTCAAGTAGATGAGCAAAGATTGTAAACATATGCAAGAGCTGCAGAATCAAGGAAGAAAAATCAGCCCTTCTCTGCTTTCCCCACCATACCCAGTTAACCAAAAGGTTAAGAGGTTCAGGCTTGTTCGAATACAGTACAACAACACAAAATGGTTAGATGTAAGCTGGATTTGCAGATTTCTGTACCCTGGGCCACAGAGACTTCTGGAGTCCTGAAGCAGGCTCTGGAGAGGGATGCAGGACTTGTTACCAGAGATGTGCAGGACATCAGGTGCCTTTGATAAAGAACTTGTTACAAAACAGAGAACTTAACTTCGACTCTCCCACAGCTGGTGTTTCCCACCAACTCCCCTAACCTGCTTCTCCTCCTTTCAAAACTCAAGCACTTCATGCAAAAATGAACATTTGTATGTTAGTTGGACTAGAGGACCTCATGCTTTATGAATGCTTTGATTTTGTGTCAGAGTATTCCCAGACGTCAACCTAACCCACAGGAAACAGCACAGTAAACTCTCCAGGTTATTAGCAGAAACTTACCTCGAGCACTTACTAGAGCTTTGTGTTTGACTCTTAAAAAAGAATGAGGAACAGGGTGCTGAGGATGACATGTGGTTCCCACACCTTCTCCTTTTCCTTCCCCGTTCTGCTCTGCTCTCCCACTCTCACATCTATCTCATCTGCGCCTCTGCTTTTCCAGCAGTTTCTTGCCATGCAGCTGGCCCCTGATGGTGTGCAGGGACTTGCGTGCACAGGAGCTGGGGAACAGATGGGGCCCCTGCAAGTGCTGAGCTCGAGTGTGTGAATGGACCAGCCCCTCAGCTGGGGTGAAGTCTGTGGAAGCCAATGGGCGGCTACAGTCTCACACTGTCTGTTACAGCTGTATCTGTTGGTACCCGTGTGAAACCTACAGCCCATTTATCTCAACAGTGGGCAGAGAAAACTCTTGGTAATTAGTAGCACTGCACACGTGGCTCCCCAGATGCCCCAGCTCTCCAAAGGCTGTGTGCAGCTGCAGTGTGAAGAAGTAACTTGCGGCTCTTTGGTTCACGCCTCTGCGTTTTTCAAACCTCTGAACTGTGCAGATGCAGAAGTGTAGTGTGGAAACACTGCTAGGAAGCCACTAGTTAGGGAAGATCCCTGTCTAGAGAGAAACCTCATACCACTGAAACTGCCTTTCATCACATTTTCTGATTCCACTACCTTGTTTGCCCCAGTTTTAACCCACAAAGCTTCCTCTCTGTGCACTAGCTTTTCTCTATAAATAGGGTGGGTGCAGCCAGGGCGAGACTTGGGCACAGTGAGCTGCAGTGTGGGACTGACGGGTAAAGGCTGCTCCCCACCGTGGCCCATGTGCTGCAACTCCTGCTTGGCCCTCAGCACCACGGCACCTCCTTGCCAGCTGGGGAAAATGAGGCAGAATCGTCAAGCCCCATCAGACTCTGGCAGATGATGTATTTCAAATAAGATTTAGGAAGTGTTTAATTGCTAATGAAGGCAGGATTCCTCCACTGCGTCTGCCACAGGAGGGCCACGGTGCAGCACCGACTTCAGCTACTTCTGGTGCACGGGGGTAAATCAGGGCAAAAAGCAATTCCTTCTATTCTCCCTTTCCGAGGCATAAAATAATTCTAGATTCGCAGCCTTCAGGCTTTGCTGTCATCTCCACAAGGCTCTTGGGGCCTTCAGACAGTGGGATGTGTCTCTGGGAGAGCAGCACGAGGCTGGACAGTGTCAGCACAGAGCAGCGGACACAACTAAAACTCCAGCAGCAGCGTTATCTCCCTTTGGGTTAAAAGGAAGTTTCCAGGATTCCTTAGTCCTTATTTAGCCAATTTGTTTGCTTTGGAGGGAAATACTTGTGATAGTGTCCGGGGCTGCCACACAAGCATGTGTGCAGCAGTTGCGCAGCCTCCCTGCCTGGCCAGTGCTCCTGGGACAGTTGAGGGGGGTCTGTGCCTTTGACCAGCTCTGGGGTTCCTGGGATCGGGTTATGGCTTCAGCACTCAGATGCACCCCACCATCCTGGCTGCCTGGGTCCTCACGGGGGTGCTGGGCTGGTGACCAGGAGGGACATCCTGGGCACAAAGTGACACTGGTGAGGATGGGGACTCTTGGGAAAGCCAAACCCCACCACCCAGCCAGGGACCAAGTCTATGTGAGCACCAGCATCCTCGGGATTTTCCCGGGGACACCCCGGGACAAGGTGTGTATGTGGGGTGTTAGGGCATGTGTGGGGCAGGGAGTACAGGGACACCCCTGAGGCAGGAAATGCGTGTAGGCGACAGGCACGGAGACATGGCAGAGCAGGCAGCGTGTGGGGCGCGCGTAGGGCGGAAAGCATGGGGACACCCCGGGGCGTGGGGACACTCCGGGGCGGGGCGCGCTCGTGGAACAAAGGGAGCC